GCCTCATGCCCTTTAGGGGCAGGAGGCCCCAATCTTAACTATATAGAAACTTCCAATGCAAACCAGAAGTCACATTATTTCAATTTAAAAAATTTTTCCATGAAAAGTGTTAGATAGATGACTGGCATGACTCTATTGTTAAAGGAAAAGTATGATGTATAGGGGCAAGCCTCTACTAATTTGAGATGAAGAGCATATATTTTAAATTAAATAAATGAAAAATAGGATTAAAAATTGCGGCCCAGCATTGTGATGATGTCACAATAAATAATTTCTCATTTGTATATACTTTGATTACACATAAGATAAAAATCATTCTTAGTTATAGCAATTTTTCCTCTTTTTATTACTGAATACATCCTCAAAAGGTGCATAAAAGTATTTATAATATAAAATGTATCTCATAGTGTTATAATTTGCTGTCCCTCAATATTTGCCATCATAAGCATTTACTTACATTGCCTATACATAAAAATGTCTCTACTGATCTACCACCTCATTGCAGACCTGACCAAACCTATAATGGGCTTGAAAATAGACCCTCTTAATACTGATAGGACTAAAAAGACTTGCAGTTTTTAATTTAAAGTTAAGATTTTCAAGTTAGAAAATATTGTACATTTATATACATAAAATTTTTTTTACTGTTAGTGACCTTATGAACACAGTTAAAAAAATTAGTTAGTTTATATGATTTTCAGTTTTAAAACTTATTAAACTGTATAAAATAACTTAAATTTCCAATTAAGCAAAATCAACTTTATAGTAAAATAAATTTTATAATTATTGGTATGAAAAGATGATTTTTTTAACAATTTAAAACTTTTTCCAAATAGAAAAATATTCACATTGTGACTGAATGGATAGCAAATGAAATAAGCTCTACACGTATCAGGTAAATACTATATTAATGATATATAAACTGATATAAAAAATGCAAAATAACATTTTCTTTCATAGGAGAGCTATTCGAAGAGGGGAAAGCATAAAATATTTGGTTCAAGATAGTGTAATAAAATATATTCATGATAATAATTTATTTAAAAATTTAGATAAGTATGTATTCTAATTAATATTTTTTTTAAGTTTTTCACTCATATTTTTTTTTTTGATGTTTTAACTAAATTTAGAACAAAATTGTTTTGTATTTAAGAAAGTGTAAATATTATTACATTTTTGTATTTTATACAGTCGACCCCCCTATAATTACGGTCCCTATAATTATGATTCCTATAAAACTACGAAAAAATTGTGACCGGTATCCGTAAAAAACAGTAAAAATTCCCTATAATTACCTCAAATGTCATCGGGCAGCCGAACTACTTTCCCGCCATCCGTAGCGCCAACTACGGAGAGATTTCTATCGTCTGGACAGTATTATATAAATTATATATAAATTAGGTACTGTACATATAATTATATATTAATTATATATAAATTAGGTACTGTATATATAATTATATATTAACTTATTGTAACTTTGTTATAATTAAATATATAATTTCCGCCGTCTAGCGTGGCACCACGCTACGAAGATTTTTACACTAACTATCGTCTGTCAGTATGTAAATTAGGTACCGTAAGTCTAATACAGTACT